ACAGGTAGCACCGCCTTCATGGTCGCGGCTCTGACGGCCGATCGTTGGGGCAATTCCACGCAATCGCCACCAACTTCTTCCAGGTCATCGCCGTCCTCATCCACTTGCAGGCGCGCCACATGTTCCAGCAGGCGGTCGATGTCGATACCAATGGTCTTGAGGGTGTCGTCCGAGACGAGGAATTCATCTCCGTCGTTGACCACATAGCAGCGGCGCTTGCCTGGTACCTTGACTGGTCCAGCGGCCGTCAGGTCATCTTCTTCACGGCCACGCTTCGAACCATAGCTGTTTCTTTGTTGGTTGACCATGTCCCGTCATGCGTTCGGTGGAGCTGTTCGCGTAGGATATTCGCAAAGGCCACCAGATCGTTCGCCGGCACGGTCTTCATTTGCTCTTCGACTCTGTCGCGTAGGTAGCTGAGTGTGACACGCGCTGCTACCACCTTCATGAACGTTCTCAGCATAGTTGAGTCTTTGAGTTGTTGACGTAAGTCATTTTCGTCGATGGCGTCATCAACCCGCTCCATAAATGGCACTAGGCGACTGGTCACGTCTCCATGGGGGTCGACACTCAGCGCCCGACAGTAGGTTTGCATGTCTGACTTGGTGGGTGTCCACTTGGTCGCTGGTTGTCCGACGATTTCCATGATACGGTCGCGGTAGTCGTCCTCACTGAGTTGTTCCACAGGCACTCGCCAAACATGGGTGCATGTAGCCTTCAGGAGGCTGCGGTCAGAGGAAGGGATCCACCCCACAGCACTCCGTCGCCACTCGCCACCCATGCGTTGCGCATTTCCCTGTAGCTTGTCCTCATATGTCTCCCGCTTCTTCACCCAACTTACTAGGAATGTTCTATTCATACAGGTGATTCGAGGGGGTTGAACATCTGTCACCACCAATGAAGGTCCACTGGAGTTGAAGTTGGGCTCCCATCCTCCGCTGCTTCGCGTCGGTGGTCCACTCGTAAGAGGTCCCCATCCCGAACTGCTTGGTAGGGTGGTGTCCAACATCCTTCAATCATGGGCTGGACGCGCCACTTTGGCATGGTCGACACGCTTCTCCTTCGGGGGACGATTGGCTTTGTTGATACACCGCCGCTCAGCTTGCTTACGCTGTTCTTCTTGGTATTCCTTTTCTTCTTCTTCACTGTCAGGAGTACTGTCCAGTCGATTTCGTCGTTCCGCACGTAGCTTAGCTCGAGCTTCCGCCTTTTCTTCCGCTCTCTTCTCAGCATCGGACTTCTCTGGCGGCGGGTAGTCTTCATCGACATAGGCGCCTTCGATTGGGGGTCGTGGTAGTTGTTCCCAGTTTGGTCCCGTGGTTTGTCCACCATATCGCCGCTGCGATTCATCCCAGATCATGGACGCCGCTCGCGCGCTACCCGTTGCCTTGTTCGCCTTGGCCAGCTCTTCCATCGTCTTCCGGACTTCCTCGCTCTTGGACTCTTCCACAGCCGGCAGCACATCCGTGGTCCCTCCAACTACCGGGACCAACGGTGGCTCCGTCACTGGTACTTCCTGCTCAGTTTCGCTGCTCGCAGCTGTTGCTGCCGTTGCCGCAGCCTTCGGCTTCTGGGCGCGATCTTTTGAGTTCTTCGTCATTGCTCTCAGTTCCGTAGGATACTGGAACTAAAGTATACTTTGTGTTGTTTCCCACGCCAGTGCCAACACAAACAACCAAATGGGGGAGTGCCGACTCTCCCTGCAAACCGCACACTTGATTGACTTGATGTTACCACGGCGTTGCAGAACCAAGAGTGAGATTCTGGCAGTTGGCTGGGACAGGTGTTCTGTTTTCTACGTCCTAGTACTACTAGTAGTACTAGTAGTAATACTATGCCTTTTCGTGTCGGTTCGCCAAGGGTCGGCACCCGGTGGCCTCGGTTGAGGACCACCTGTGTCATGGCGGGACTTGGATTAAGTCGCCCTCCACAACAGTGACCCAGGTCTCCATGGCCGCACACTCCGATGCTTGCCGTCGGCGGGGTGTGGTGGAGTTACGTCCCACTGAGGGGCAGAGTCGCAGTTGAAGTCGCCGCCCACAATCATCCGGGTGGGTGTGGGAGGTATGCCAGTTAGAGTCGAAAAGAATTCTCGGCGTTCCCCCGTGGACCCACTTGGTGCGTAGATCGAGGCAAGCGTAAAGGTAACCGAGGATATCTGCAGATATCTCCCTGGGATCGCGTGTGCCGTGTCCAGAGTGAAATGTTGATCCGAAAAGGGGTTCAGAAGGATGGCCACCTCTTGAGAGCGATCGGGCGTCACAGACCAGAAGGACCAGGGGAGCCGCCTCCTTTGAGGCTCCATAAACGTGCCCAGCGCCGTGCCAGAGAGTGGCTTGCGCTTCCGAGGTCACATGAGTTTCCTGGAGGCATATGACGCCGAGGCTGTCGGTGGAGAGGTTGACCTTCCAACTTGCCATCCATGCCGCCACGGTGTCGTGGCGGAAACCGGCCACATTTTGGGTGAGGAGGCGGAAAGGTGATGAAGGAAGGCCTCGAGGAGATTGAGCGGTGTGTGTAGCAGGAAGCAGTGCGGAGGATGGGGTAGGTACAGAGGGAGAGAACTGCCTGGTGGGGGTCACCGGCGGCCTCACGCTAGGGAGTTTCATATGACGGCAGACGAGACAGACATGGGTCTATTCTCTGTATCCGCCAATGGTGAATCCCCAGGCGTACGCATGTTGCGCCACCCACGGTGATAATTGTTTCCATCCTCCGAGTGGGAGGTGGTCCCAGATATTCAGTAAGTTGCCCGTCTCGACTAGTTGGAGTACCCCACGCAGGGAGGGGAGGTCAGGGATTTCGCCTTCCTCTAGTCCTTCCAAGTCAAGGAGGGCTGTGAATACTGCTGCCCAGATTCACTGTATAGCCGTGATGGCTGTGAGAGCTCGCAGGACTATAACAGATGGAGGAGTTTCGGCCCGGGCGAGCAGCTCGCCCCATCTGGGTTGGTTAGTTGCCAACTGTACTGCTGCGTCCACTGAGGCGGCCCGCACGATATCCTCCTTCCAGGTATCGAGAAGCCCGGTGAGTTCAGGTTTCTTGTGGAGGGAGGCGATCTGGGTTAGGGTGACCCGGGCCATTGCCGCTAGCAACTGTTTACCCCAGGTGACCAAGATCGGGGGGGAGCACCTGCTGAGTAGGACCTCCGGGGTTCCGACTTCCCAAATCATGGATCTAGCCGTGAGGGGAAACTGCTCCAAGAGCGGCTCCAACTGGGCCGCTTCGTTGATCGGAGTGGTCAACAGTCCGGCAGGCACGCTGTCCGTGTTGTCTTTCAGCCACTTAGTGAGGCGTCTTGTATATCGGACGGGAAGTTTGGGAGGGGCTTTGATTCGCCGACCCGGGGTCAGTGCCGCCGATGTTCGTGGGGGGGGGGTGAGATGTATTGAGTCAAAGTGTGTTCCGCGTTTGTGAACGAGCAAAACGTCGGAGCTGGTAAGCGTTATGAAAATGGTCGTCCAGTTGCCCACCGGAATTGGTGTCTTCTCGATATCTTCTTGGCCGGGCATGAACCCGACCCTCCAAAGCCACCATGTATGCTCCGTCTCCTGTTCCTGAAGAACATATACTGGCTGTTGCCAGACCGCTGAAGCCGCAGCGATCTCCGGGTACCCGCACCAATCCAGTTTATCGACGCCCTGCGCTGGGTGTGCCGCAAGAAGCCTGCTGAAGAACTTGTCGATGAAGGCTTCCACCGTTTCTTGTGAGGCTTTGGAGGTGTCGGTAAGACGTTGCATCCAACGGGGGTTGTATTGGCCGAGGAAAGCTGGGTTTGTCTGCATGACGTCCCTGATGCTGTGTTTGAGGTCTGTGATGCCAGACACTACCTGGGGGTCGAGCGAGGACCGTGTGGACCATTCGTGATGCATTTTGGCGCAGTACAAAGCCAAGATGCAACATTGGCCTCGCGCGGCTACGACTCCCTCCTGCCATGAACGGCGCTTGAATATTTACCGGATCGGCCCAGTTAGTTGGAATTCTATAGGGATGGACGTCTCCGTAGGTGCTCCGCATAGATCGACCATAGCTACTTCGTTTGCCACCGGCGCTGGTGATACGGCGTCAGCTTCTAGATGTGTGTCGTTGTCGCAAGCCGTACGACCAGGAGGTAGTCCCAGCGCCCTCGTCGATGGACAGTCGGAGGCCAAGGGAAGGGTGGCTGATGTGCCCATGTCGATGTCCTCATATTCCCCCGAAGATTCTGGAGGCGCTGGCTCGCTTTCCGATTCACCGGTGCCCATGAGATCATCGTCCGCTGGGGGGGACTCCATATCAGGTGCTGGTGGTGCCAGGGCTGTCTCAGTAACAGTCATGTCTGATGAGACCGTGTCCTCCTCGCCAAAATCTGGCTGACAGAGCTCTCCAGATGCTGCCCCGGGGTTGCCGGGGGTCGGTTGTTCGGCTTGTAGGGATGTGATCCATGTGGTCCCAAGCTATATCGGTGTCCTGGTTGTTGCTGTATGCCAGTGAGGCGTTCCGTCTAGGTGAGACGGAGTAGAGGGCGTCAATTGTGGTGGGCGCTCTGCCAAAAAGGTCTTCTATTCGGATGATGCCAGCTTCCTGCACTTCCTGTTCGGGCGAAACCCACTCCCTCGGGAAAAGGATGCGGTCGTGGTCCGCATCCTGCTCCGGAGGAGTTTGCGTGGCCATTGCCCTGGGTGTTGTGGGCGGGGCCTCGGGAACCTGATCTCCTGTGTGGGGGGTCGGGACCGGTGGATGTGGTTGTCTCCGTGAGAGAGCCGAGATGATCCGTTTGCACCGACCCATCGCACGTCTGCATCTCTGGTGAGGTCCCATAGTCCACCTGCTGGACAGCTTGCGTCCCTGCCTCGTGGGAGGCCACACTGGGGGCTGTTTGGGTGCCTACCGGAATGGGGGGAATGTGGGCACCTACGTCCCGTAGCCAGTGGGTAAACGATGGTTTGCCAATAAATTCCGTATTGGGGGGTGCCGCCCAAAGGGTTGGTGAGAGCGTGATAATCTTGTCCCTGTGTAGGTCTGGCGCTGGGCATCGTTCCACTTGATGGTCCAAGGCCGCGCAGCGCCGACAGGGCATGTTGGTCTAGTCCTGAAAGTGGAAAATGTGGACAGTGATAGGGCCCATCTCATTGCGAGATTTCCCGAGGATGTCGTCCAGAACGTTGGCATTGTCCGTCACCACCAGGTAGCTGTTGGCATCATCATCCTCAGTCCCCTGGTTTTTGGCAGTGTCCAGACTGACTACCCCCACCCCAGAAGGCGCAGCATGTGGAGGACCTGCATCAATTTGATGCGGGCTGGCACTTGGAGTAGTCGAAAACTGTAAGTTTCGGTTTGTTGGGTTTCGTCGGTATCAAGGTCGGTGATAGGGTCCTCCGGACGCCGGAAGTGTCGCAGCCAAGTGATCTCTCCACGGAAGGGGACAGGTTGGTTCCGCCATGTGGCCGCCTTTGCCTTCGAATTGAATTGTAAGATAAGCTGACGGCCTTCTTGGTGAAGGTAGCACGAGTGCATATCTTTGCGTAGGGAATCGCATACCCTGACCGCCTCTTTGTTGTCTCCCGGGTTGATGGGTGAGAATAGGCGTGCCAACGACACGCTGGTCATGTCGGGGTAAAGTCGGTTGGATGCTCGGATTGGAATCTGGAGGAACCCAAAGTACTGCCGCATTTGGTCGTGGAACAACGCAATTTCTGTTACCTCAGAATTTGCTTGAGGAATTTTGAAGGGGTGTCGAGGGGTAGGGAGCCGGCAAGAACAGCATCCCGGATTTCCAATTCTCGGGTGCTAGGAGCCCGCATGTTGGTTGGCCAGGCTGCACTGGGTGCTTTGCACTCCGTGTGCGCCTGGGTAAGCCCTGGGTATGTGGGGGTATCGCGATGTCTAGGGGGTGGGTGCCTCTTGCTTTGGAGGCGAACCGTATCCGCGAAGGTTTGCCCTGGCGTGGTGCTGGTGGCGGGTTGATTGGTGGTTGTGCAGGTTCCGGATAGGCCTGCGTATTGAACGTCTGGGGCTCGGTTGTGTCCATTTCCGAGTCTTCCTTGGAAGCCTTGGGTATCGTGGACAATCTTGGTTGCTTGGAAGGATGAACAGTCGCCGTAAAGGCCTCCCGTCGCACGCGGGAGTGAGTTTTCTTCCGTTCTGTGGCCAGTACGTTTTGGCGATGCTGGTTAGGTCCACGAGGGCGGGCATGTTTCGGGAACTCAAAAGGTCGATGGTTGACTTGATCTGGGTCCTCATATGGAGGATGATGTAGCGCCTGCGCTAGTGGCAGGCCTCCGCCATTCGTTTCGCTGGACATGCCGCAGGATACTTTTACTTGGTATTTGCACTGATCGCCAACTAACGTGTTGATGTTAGTACGTCTGGATACTCCATACTAGTATGGAGTATCCAGTGCATGGTGAAGACTCTTCACCATGCACCTGGTCGAGGTCACACTGTACAGTAATATTTTTCATGTGAAAAATGCCTCTGAAAACCTATACTAAACTCATCAAAAATAATGCAACATGTGCGACTACCAGCAAGCAATACTACTGTATTAATACGAAGTACAGTAGTATCGTTTCCTGGAGAACATGGTGAAAACTTCAAAGAACATGGTTTTCATTGGCCAATATTATGGGGTTAGGTACGGTACAGTATTCAACGCATGTCCACTGACTACAACAATCATTTCAAGGCGTCCACCCTTGCTCTGTCATGCACACGGAGTAAGCTGCTGTCAAATGAAGGCGCCATGTTCCGTGGGTCTTGTGGGCATTGCATGGGCCTGAGTAATTCGGTTAACACCGTGATGAAGCAACGGAAACCTGAACAATGCAACATGCGTACATGGTTGCAGATTCCACTTCCTGGTACGTTGCTATCCAACACCACAAACCAAACTGTGTATGTATTTAACATTCGTATGCAAAAATACCATTTTCAGCATTATACACTTATGGAGCTACATCAGAAGTAGGAGAAGCACTAATTGATAGTCCACGTAGTGCCTCCTTTTTTGCCTTCTCTCTCAAATACCTTTGTCGACGCAAGCGTCGGGTCTTTTCAGGGTCTTTCTGTCGCCACTTCGCTTGGGAGGGTAACGTGTTCGATGCACGTCTGGCACGTTCACGTTCGTTCTGGAGCACTTTACGACGGTTTTCACATCCTCGTTTGAAACGTACTTGCGTTGCTGTTGACGAATTTTTGCCTTGTTTTTTTCGTCGTAGGTTGTAGGCCTTTTGACGTGCCACCACATGAGCCTGAGAAGCCGATGGGGTAGTAAATGCTGATGTCGGTGATGCTAAAGGATACTAGTATATAATTTGTTAAATATAAATTCTGCAATACTGATGTAAAATACATAGAATCTTACAACGTGAGCTACTTGGCACACTAACATTTCGTGTGCTACATAGAGGGCTGCCTTGGAGACTGTGTTGGGGACTACGTTGTGAGGTGCTTTGAGGGCTGTACTCGGGACCGCCATATTGCGGGCTATAATGCGGGTTGCTTTCCGGGATACGCTGGAGGCTGCGTTGGGGGCTGCGTTGCGTTGGACGTGCTGCCGAAAGCTGGTAGACACATGGGCATGGCTGACACGAACTGAAAAAAAACTCGTGCGCGTCTTCTTGGCGTCCAGCACCAAACGACAGCAACAAATCAGCTTGGTGACTGTGCAACTCGTCCATTCGATATCCATTTGGCCACGTCTTGCGGCGTTTCGTTGGATCGTTTACGTGGATGTCATGAACGATCCTGCTTAGGCAGTATTGGGGGCTGAACTGTGTGGTCAGGGCACGCTGGTACGGTGGCAGGAGGGACTGAACCAGGGGAGGAAGTGCAACAAGCACTGTAAAACAGCGTTGACGTAACACGTTCTCCCATAGTTGTGAAGGCCAGGTCCTAACCCGAACTCTCCGCGCCACTGAAGCAAGTTTTCCATGGAAAGGGTCGGCGACAATGACGAACAGAATGCCCCAATATAGTGTACATCTGCCATACGTTTAAGACAAATAGTGTCATACTGACTCCGAACCAGAATGTTTGACGCCGAAGTTAAGTAATTTAACGCCGAATCGTAATGTTTGACGCCGAATCGTAATACCGAAGTATATTGTTCGACGCCAAAATGTTAGCATGATAGCGACGCCAGAGTAAAAAATGTGAGAGTTCACATTCCTGCCACTTAAATTTTGCTTAAAACCACAGAACAGACGCCACCTGTCAACTCATGTGGTGAGGTAGAATCTCGAGTGATGTGACTGCGCATCAAAGTACTTAAAAGGGAATTGTATTACATCTGAATCGTTGGTACGTACACTGCGTAGTCCGGGGTAATCAAAATCGGATGGTGGCAAGGGATACAGTAGAATATAAATGCATACGATAGGAATGAACGTACATGCCAATAACTCTGGCTCGAGAGTTAATCTGAGGTAGCACAATAGCTCGTTCAACTGGTCAGAGGTAGTTCTGTAATGTAATACTACATAGTATATATGTAAAGTGTATACGTGCCCCGGAAGTTCTCAAAATGAATAGCTCCAAGGGTCCACAAGAATTATGCCGATAACTCAGGCTGTAGAGTGAATCTGTGGCAGCACAATGGCTCGTTGCGCTGGCCAGAGGCAGTTCTGTAGTGTAGTATGTGTGGAGGATATGCCTGCCGGAAGTAAGCAAGCTACAGTATATGTGTACCCCGCGAGTAGCTGAATAATTATGGAGAATCAATTACTCTGGGTTGCTTTGTACTTAGTTGCTCGCAGTTTGTGAAACGACCAGGTAGTATTTTGTAATTTGCTACAACGAAAGTATACAATATTGCAATAGTACGAAGTTCATTTGGGAACGTTGGTTGTACGGTTTCGTTCCTCAGAAACACACATGAAACTTATTTAGTAACTGTTGGGTAGTTTTTTTCAATTTGCTACTCCAAGAGTATTCTAATCTTCAATGCAACGTTAGAACTATCCTAAATTTATCGAAACGAGGACAGCATATTTTGGCCAAAAAGCCTTGACAGTACTAATTGTATATTCGAGTGAGCGTTGAGAACAATAGAGAGTGTGCTAGGCAATTTGGCTTGGGGGATGCTACAAGTCGAATATTGTGAGGGGAAGGGGGGATACATAAGGGCTGATGAGGTGCAGGGGTTGCAGTCGCTTCTACTCTGGTGATCTACATACACTATGAACTAGTCATGATGTCGTGAATGGTGATTTTAACCTCGTAAGTGGCTATTGTGTGCTTTAACATGTAGTTAAGACACAAGCAGAATCGTTGTGGAGGGGATACAAGGCCGTGGGGGGTTATAGACGATGTAGGGGTTGCAATCGATACAGTTGTAGCGATTTACATGCACTATGAGCTAGTCGCGCCTAGTGGCTGAAACCTCTACTTTCTGGTGTAGATTCACCACGGCTCTTACCCAAATTGCTAGCGTTTACACGAATAACTTGTCGTTGAGCTCCACACACAGCTGTACGTTTTCCTTCTTAACTTTCACGCAAAGTCACATTGCACACACATAACGCATACTAGTACCAAGGAATATCAAAGGGTTACATCAAATTGCTAGGTCAATTGCTGGCATGATTCAGGACTCTCGAATGCTAGTCTTGCCTTACTAGCAGAAATGGATTTGCCCGTCGTTGATGCGAGCAACTACGACGGGCAAATACTCTACTATACTGTATGAGCTCCTCTCATTATCATTCTATTAGTTGTGAATAAGGTATCTGCAAAGCAAGGCTAGTTACTTTAGTACTTCGAAGTACATCAGTCAGGCAATACGCGGCAACATGCTCATGTTCAACCCTATCATCTTCCAGAAATACTTCGTTTTGTTTGAATAAATATTACTTGAAGTATATGTCATGGCCAACCACATATTTCAATGTCGTCATTCTTCAATTTGCCACCTCACACACACTGCTCAGTGGGTCAATGGGTATGTAAGTGATCGATCCCCTTGCGCATTCAGCCATCCGTTAGTACCGCAAACAAGGTTCTTTTTATATCTAGGCAGTACATAAATCACGACTATAGAATATGTCTTTTACAGAAGCAGCACGAAGCACGATATATGTGGAACTTTGGCGGCTTTTGGCGAAGGCTAGGTGTGTCAGTCTACGCCACAAGCCGGCAACGTTGCTGTGGGAGTCTGGTAGCATGCAGTACAGTTCACTACATCCTGATTCGCGTCCGCTTTATGCCATCAATCAGTGGTTGGTCATAGGGCCGTCGATAAGGTTACGGTGTTTCGTGATTTCCCCACCCTTCCTCCACATGTGAGTCCACATGTGAGTTTAATAAACAATCACATTGATAATAGTCACATGTGTCCAGAAATTCTCATAACGCACTGCCTGCCGAAGAGGATCTCGTTGTGTATAATACTCTATATTCAATTCAGCAAATT